GCCTATAATTTCCAATATCATCTGCTGCCAAATTTGGTTTCTTCCTAATGGGCCTAATGAGTGTCTCTTTGAGGGCAAGAGGAACCTTGCCCTCTTGGAGAGACCCATTAATTATTGCTGTGTCCCATTCCGTTGTTACAGGCCTGGCTGCTTTGATTGGCCAGGCTGGGCAAGGGTCAAGAGAGGAGGTGGTGGCCCGACAGCGATCAAGCGCTTTGTCCACCAAATCTGGTGTAAGTCTAGCTGCACTGCGCCACTTATGATGCCTTAAGAAGGTAGTAGAATGGCTAGAAATATCACACCATTTGGCTCTAAAGCACCAAAGTTTGATATCACAGAACCCAGACAGAACTGCCATTAACATCTGCATAAAATAAGGGATGCAAATAAATACAAAAGTAAAATATGAAACAATCCTAGGATGGCTTTAAAGATCAAACTATCTGATACACATAGTACATAATTAAAAGTGATATTCCCTTAAATGGCAAAAGACATCTCAGGTAATGAAACACACCCCAAAAGAGATGCTTTCCATCACCTCTGTAATAATGCATCCCATTTCATTTTGCTCACTTTGCACATCTGATCATTAAGGCATGTATTTGGAAATTTACTTTGCATTGAATTAATGACTGATCCATGTGAGAAGGTGGTGAAGTAGATATCTGATTCTTCTGGCTCTGTACAGTGTTTGTAACAAGCACTATAACTTAAAGGTATATTAGTTTCTCATTCTAACCTCTGTGTTATTTTTGATATGAGTATTTTTAGAATCCATCTGGATTGATCTTTCTTGTGCTAAAAATACTGTAAGGGCATAAATGTCTGTTAAGTAGAGAAAGATCTTAAGACAACTTTGATGTTTAAAAGCAACAAGGTTAAAGATAATTTCTGAAATTACTTTTTCAGATTACAGAAGTGACAAACTACTTTTAGGCCTTAATCTCCAGATTACACTTACCTGTGCAAAATTTCTTACCACCGCATGTAAAGATTTGATGGATAATGATTTTAAGCTATAACTTTTCTTTAACTCTTTTTTCCTCTGTTTTAGCACTGTGACTGCTTTATAAATGCAACTTGTGTTATGTTTAATGGTTTATTTGCTGGTCACAGACTGAAATAATAATAAATTGAACTGAACTGATGACAGAAGGTATGATTTGTTCATCCAGAATCTGCATATATTGTTTGCAGGGTTTTTTAAATAGTTATCTATTAGTTAGTGTTTTTAAAGTGTACCTCTAAAATGTAAACTTGTGAGTTCATAGTCCCTGTGAACTCACGAGCAGCAGCAAGTGAAGTGACTGATTCATGTGAGAAGGTGGTGAAACAGCAAGCTGTTTATGGGGAGGGTGTGTGGGGTTGGTGGAAGAGAAACAACTATGTGAGCTTATCTTTTGGATTCAGGCTAGATTTTGTCTGACTTGTCTGGAAGTTTATTCGCTTGTTTGTGTCAGGCTCATTGTTTGATTGCAGCTGTGTGCTGTGATAAATTGAAGATCAATAAGTCACCAAACCCAGATGGCATCCACCCACTGGTTATTAAGGAACTGAGAAATGAAGTTGCTGATCACTTAACTAAAATATACAACTTGCCCTTTAAAACGGCCACAGTGCCAGAGGACTTGAGGATAGCACATGTCACATCAATCTTTAAAAGGGGAAAGAAGGGGGACCTGGGAAACTACAGGCTGGTTAGCCTAGCATCTGTTCCAGAGAACATGTTGGAAAGACTCATCCAAGATAAAATCTTAAAACACATAGAACAAGCCTTGCTGAGGGAAAATCAGCATGGCTTCTGTAAGGGTAAGTTTTGTCTCACAAACCTTTTAGAATTCTTTGAAAAAGTCAACAGGCATGTGGATGCGGGCGAACTAGTAGATATTGTCTATCTGGATTTTCAGAAGGCGTTTGACACAGTCCCTCTCCAAAGACTGCTGAGAAAACACCATAATCAGGGGATAAGAGGGCAGGTCCTCTTATGGATTGAGAATTGGTTGAAAACCAGGAAACTGAAAGTAGGTGTCAATGGGCAATATTCACAATGGAGAGAGGTGAAGAGCAGTGTGCCCCAGGGATCTGTCCTAGGAGTGGTGCTTGTAAGCAAACACGGCGTTCGAAAACGTCCGCGTAAGCCTGGACAGAGAGTAATCAGGAGTTTGCACACGCTAAAATGGGCTGAGTGAGTCCAAGCTCAGCTAGCCATGTTACAACACTCCATCTTACAGGTCTGCCCACATAAGAACACCCTTGTACTCTCAGATATTACTGTGAAAAGATCAAGTGGGCTTTGTAGTCCTTAGACTTAACTTGCACCACTGGCAGGACTCCTTAAGTATGCTAGGCCGAGGCAGCACTCTCAGATGACCCTAAGACAAGTGTACTGTTCAGGAAACCAATTGACTTTTATAATCATTATTTTATTTTTTAAAAATAAGCATGTTACTAGGTATCAAAATCAAACTAAGTCAAGGCAAGTAAATAAGCATTGTGTTAGTTATTTACAACTCTGTAGTGAGGCAA